TGAGCCAATTTTACAGGGAGGGTGTTGGGGGAATGAGTGCCACTTCTAGCAACAGCAATTGCCTGTTATCTGGTGAGACTTCCCCTTTCTAAAACTTTAGCTATAATGCCTTACAGTGTCTAGAGAGAAATTGGAAGACTGTAAGTCAGGAAAAAAACCTCACCAGACTCTGAGGGGGTAGAGAAAGAGAGTTTATTTTGCCTAAGTGGGTACTGCAGCAGTTGAAAGCCTCACTTATTCATCACATAGTTTGGATGATATTCAAAGACCTTGTAATGTTTATAGGCGAGAATATATTTGTAAGTGATTTAATTGTGTAGGGAAAAAATACGTCTGCAGTGTCTTAAGTTTATGGCTTTGTAATATTTGAAACAATTTGTAATAATTTTTAACTTTATGGCATTTTTAGGTTCTTTCATATATTTGAGTCTTTATTCAGAGAGATAACTATCAGACAATTTTAATACTTGAAGAGAATAAAAAAAATCCAAGTAACCTTGCCTAAGGCCACCTGTTTTTCACACTGATGACCAAAACTTAGGTCTTCTGATTGTCAGCCAAGTATTTATCCCTGCTCTGTTTTCTTCTAGGTAAATTTAACAGAACTAGTCCTGTTGGTGTGAATAATGCAGCAGCTACAGAGCACGGCTTTTCTTAAAAAAATAAATGTAACCCTTAACAATACTGCAATTGCTGATGATGGGAACAGGCTTACAAATGTGAATCTCAGCTTTTGACGTTATAAAATGCATATCCAGGTGAGGAATTAACAATTTAAAATTTCCTTTTCACTTCTTTGTAAAAGCTTCATTTTGTTTAGTGGCATGTATCTAGTGGTCAGAAATCCTCTAAGAAATATCTGGTATTTTGAGATCTCCAAGTTATGATTCCAAGAACATAATCTTGTACCTTTTTCTAGATATTCAGCTTGTGTGTTCTTGTTCATGGTAGTCTTGGCTTTGTTTGTTTGTTCTGTTTGTGATTTTTTCTTATGCTGTGCATTTTATTTAACAGTATAGTAGTGTCAGTAGGGGAAAATAAAACTCTAATTTGCCTGTCTGAAACATAGACATGCCATATAAACAATTCATTTTGACCCACATCTGCTTAGTGTTTTCACCTTTTGAGAATAGGTTATGAGAGCAGCTCTGGTGTATAAATGACATTTATAGAGAAACAGGGTAAAATACCAGATGGTATTTTGCTGTAACAATGTGGTCACTTCAGAGCTCATGGTATTATTGCTACTGTGTAGTATCCTAGTCCTGCAAGTAATGACAACAGAGATCCCTGCTGTGTTTAATTTTTCTGAGGATTCTATAAATGGTGCAAAAAACCTCATTAGAGTTATGGTGCTTTGTGCAGGCCTGAAACTTGTAAACTTTTCTTTTTTTTTTTTTTTTAAAACCTCTTTTGGAGAGATTTTTAATACTACACATACACGTATTTCTAGTGTATTTATCTTACATGCTTCCCAAAATCACTTGGTAGCACTGCAAACCAGTTATTACCTGTAAAGTGGAAGACCAAAGGAGCTGAGGTTCTCAAGGACAGAGATAAGAGGTGATTTGATAATATCTACTGACAACTCAAGCTCACACTTTCTGTTTCATGTTATTCTCATCTGTATGCTCCATGCTACTCTCTGTGCTCAACTATTAAGAGATATACAAGATTATATGTTAAAGCTTTCATAACTGTCCATATTGAACTATTTTAGCACTAGAAATGTTAATATATTGTCAGCCAATATAGTGGAAATTGTATTCTAATACTACTATGATTGAAATCAGGTTTGGGAAATAGGTCCAAATCATCTCTTTTTAAGACTTCAAATGCATGGCACCTTAGAAGTATCACTGCCTACGGGTCTAGCAATAGAATTATTTTAGAGAGAGTCTCAAGTATTTAAGAGACTTGAAAAAGATGGAAGCATGCAATGTAAATATCTTCAGAAGCTACATGTAGAACTCGTCAGTTCCTTTGATGATTTCAAATATGTTTTAAAATATATTTTTCATTATATTATTTCAAATGCTAATTAGAAATAGAAGGAAAAAGTACCTATCCTTTTCTCATGAAACCCCTGTGTCTTCTTTCTGCATTTTCAATGAAGTCGCTGGCAATAAAAGTGAGTTGCCTCTCCAGGAGCAATCTGCCTTTCACTTGTACTTACTATTTCCTTAGAAGTCATTTGAAATAGGCAAATAAACAATCACAAAATTTCAAGTAATTACTGCACTTAATGTCATGGTTTGACACGGAAAAAGAATTTTCTCGGAAGGAAGAGGTCAATTTGGTATTGACCAATTGAAGGTGGACACGCCTCTGAGAATACAGAGGGGTTAAAAGCAGAATTCCCAGGAGAACTCGCTCCCTTTGGTTCCAGTCAGCAGTCAGTGCAGGACCCTGCCTGGCCCGTGGCTGTGTGGGGGAGGGGAAGGCCTGACTGAGGTAGGCCGAAGCACGGAGGGGACTGGAACCTCCCTGCAGATGGAAGGGTGGAGAAATCTGGGATGTCTCCGTTCCCCCCCCAGAGTCTCTCTCTCTCTCTCTTGAGAAGGAGACAGCAGCAGTTCTGTCAGCAGTTCACCACGGGGAAGGAGAAGAGTGGGGGGCGGGCCGCAAGGTGCCCAGCCGCCATGGGGGCTGGAGCCTGGGCAGTGAGCCATCCTTGGGAGTCGGGACTTTTAACCCTTCCTTGATAAATGAAAGCTTTGTGAAATTTTTCTCCTTCTCGGTTTGAAAGAGAGGAAGAGAGACAGCTTGGACCCTGGGATGTTAGAAGGAGAAATTCTAGGTGGGAGGAGATGATGGAGTGGCTTTTGGCTGGAATTTTTCTTGGTAGCCACAGACTGAACTGATCTTCTCCTCCAAGAGAGACTGTATTTTAGGAGGATGCCAGTGAGCCAAAGAGACCATGCTTCAGCTGGGAAAAGACAGAAGTGGAGCGAACAGAGAAAAGTCAGGAAAGTTTGTGGTTGTGCCCCCTGTCTTCAGAGAAGAAGAAGAGAAGATCTCTGTTCTTGGATTCTCGGCCCCAGGGGAAAATGGGGGGGACTGTGGTCCCAAAAATGAAAAACTGAGCTGTTGGTTTTTTCCCATCCTGGCAGGGTATCCTTGAAAGGAAAAATCCTAAAAGCAGCCTTTCCATCCATGCATTGGTGGTGAGAGCACTGTGCATGGAAAGGAGAGGGTCACCACTGGCAAACTTTTTCCTCCGGGCGGTGCCATGTGGTGACATGGAAGCACAGGATGTGGCAGCTGTGACATGGAAGCACAGGATGTGGCAGCTGTGTTTCTTGGGGGGTCTGTGGCACAGGAGGGGCTCCTCTCTCCCTCAATGGACTGAGTATCAGTTGTCTGGAGGGTGGAAACCTGATTGGGGTCCAGGTTGTGTCTCACTGTGGTTTGTTGGAGTTGGGTGGTGGGAGGGGGAATGCTTTGGAAGGTTTTAATTTTGAATTTTGTGTGTGTTTCTTTCTTTCTTTTTTATTTTATAGTAGCATAGTAGTAGTAGCTTAATAAAGTTGTTTCTTGTTATTAGGCTTGGGCCTGCTTTGCTCTGTTCTCGACTGTACTTCACAGCATTCAGTTGGGAGATTGCATTTTCATGGGGGCACTGGCATTGTGCCAGTGTCAAACCATGACACTTAATTTTGACATTTCCTGTTAATTAATAAAGCATAACAGGTTTCCGTTTGTTCCATTATATTTAATTTAATAAACTTTTAAACACTGCAGAGATTTCTGAACAGAGCACTGTTACAACACATCTCTGTCCATAAGGGTAGCTCAGGTTCTTGTGTTAGATTCCTCAGTGGTTCTTCTAACCCCTTAGATTTCCCTTAGAGTGAAATGACACTCAATGACTGGTGTTTATAAATAAACATATATATATATGGTTTATTTTAGTACAGTTTAATTGCAATGGAAAGTAGGTATGTAGTCATTTTAGTTGTTATTATCTACAGAAATGTAGCAATTTAAAGGAATCAAAATAACACTTCAGAGAATCTATTGGGGGGGGGGGGGCGGGAAGAGAAGGAATATGAGTAGAAAGGCAATTATCCAGAGATAATTGTTAATTGATAATTGTTGCAGTTTCAATGTCTGTTTGCCGAAGTGATGGTTGCAGTCTTGTTGCAGATCTGCCAGGAGTGGGGGAAATCCCTTGAAACACAAAGTTCAATTGGTTAAAACACACTGAGGTTAGGTGGGAAACACCCCACTACATCTCCTGGGTGGAAGTTTTACTCAGTCTGTTGCAACACTATGGATCATGCACAGTCCTCTCTTGGAAGGCCCCAGAAATGAATCTGGGGGGTGCTTTGTGGGTCTTTGATGGTTTATGAGCCCTTCTAAGACATGAAGCTGCCTCTCATGTCAGTGCAGTTGAGCCAGCTATGCCCAGTGAGAAATGAAGATCATCCTCAGACCTATGTGTGTGAATGTGAATGTCCCATATGGATGTGACCTTCCCCAGACTGGGTTGGGGGAGGACACTGGCATGATAAAAAGCACTATCCCACCTTGCAGGATCTGCTTATCATCATCCATTTCCCTTATCTGGCTCAAACCCCAGAGCCTCTGGTGGTGAGTGTTCACCCCTCTGTCTTATGGAAACCAGAGGCTTTGCCAATACATGCTTGAAACCTCCCCTCCTGCCTGTCTGGGGTTGCAAACCTGGTCCCAGCAAAGCACCCTACCCCCTCCACAAACATTGCCAAATATTTCAGCCATTAACCATTAACATCCTGTTCTCTCACAAGCACCACTGACTCACTATACATTGTGTATTTTGGCTTATTAACATTATATTAGTAACAGATCTCAGGATTGTGACCATAAAATAATTGCATTACAAACCCGTCAAGTAGTTGAGGTTGACCTATGAGTATGTTTTTTTCTGATATTACATTTCTTTCCAAAGCCTGTTTAAGTCAACAGATTCCTCCTGACAAGCCTTTTTCGCTTGCGAGCTAAAAGTAAACCCGTCTCATTCCTCACTAAGTGCTGTTATTGCAGCCAGGGAGGAATTAGTCACTATTGCTGATTTTCAGAACTGAAGTTCTACTCAGTCTTTAGAACCTGGACTTCTCTGAGTAGGATTCTTGCTGTATTTTAATGATCTGGAAGCTAACCATCACTGTTTAACAAGTCTTTAGGCTCTTTCTGTGCTTGTAGATAAATATGCACCTCCACCCTGAGACAGGAATGTAAAATAGACGGGCTGATTTAGAAGAATGTAGATGATTAAAGATCATGCTTAGGTAAGACTGAATCCCAATTTTTATTTAAATTCTCATAGTTTCACCCCAAAATGAACCTCTGACTAGTTCTGTAAGCATATGTTAAAGTGAGTAGCTGACTTTGGATCTGTCAGTAAGGAATTATTGAGAGAGAACGTAGAATAAATAATAGCCATTGGAAATATTGAATTCAAGTCTCTCCATTCCATATTGAGTGTTCTGATTACCAGCTTGTAGAGAAATTTCTGTCTTTATTTAGCCTGTAATTATTCTGTACTTTGAGAAACAATTTTCATAAGAGAATGCCTTGTTCCAGACTAGGTTATAGCCTGGTTACCAAAACTGTTTCCATGAGACAGGTGCATATCTCCTCAGTCAAAAGACATAATGAACCTTACTGTCTTCTATGTTAAAGGGGCCAGAATTATGCAAAACACAAGTGAAGCATCACTTCCAGTTAAAGTACTCGAAATCCTAGCTGCCACAAGAAAAGTGGTATCTGAGCAGGGTTTTTGTAAGATCTAATTTACATGTTTGAGAACTGCACTGAAAATTCAGTGTTCACTCTCTTTGTGCATCTGGCACAGTGCTTCTGCTGGCTTGGTCATCTGCCTCATTCTCAAGATTTTTTCTAAGATGTTCCTTCACCTCTGTCAGTTCCCCAAGGAAAGTTATTTTCAAGTTTTGATATTAAGTCCAGTAGAGATTCCATACTGGTAAGGATATTTTCAATGTGTCTCATAACTAATGGGTGATTCTTTATTTATATCTTGATAAAGCCTTATTTCCTCTGTCTGTGTTAGGATTCAAAGAAAAATTAAAAGTCTGTTTCAATTCTTGATGTTTAAACATGGCATTAGCAAAACTTATCTTTTTCTCACTACAAGCTCTTTTGTATATAGCATTGAATGTATTTATACTTCCATTCTATTGTTTATTAATAAATGCAGATAAATAGTGGTAAACTAAACTGGCATCTATTGTGATAAACTGAGACAGTACAATAGTACTGCAAGCTAACTGTTACCCTTTTCTTCCCATCTTGGTATTGCAGTCTAGAATTACCCTCTGGAAGGATCCCAGTAAGACAGGTTGGAATATAGAATTAACAGAAGGAAATGACTTATCATTTGCTTTATGATGCTACTCTAAATTCTCTGTCTATTGACAGTGAGGGTAAAACTGGATTTTTCTTTCTCAGATACATATAAGGCTATAACTAATACAATGATTTTCTTATTCTACAGTATTTGTACCCTGCTTTCAAGGTCTACTAAGCAACTTTACTTTTTGCTGTTATGACCATTTTTAAAAATTGTATTTTTGTTATCTAAAACCTTACAGAGTGATATTTGCACCCATTTAATTGTGTGACTAGATGTATTCAGGCACTAATTTAATTTCTATTTTTCTTGAGGTCTAGCAAATAGTAAACTCTGAGTTGGTTTTGGATTTCATAAGTATTTGTGTGTGTCCTTACTTTCTTGGAAGCCCATCATGGACAGCTTAAATATGTGTACCAAATTATTTATACAGAGGACTATTAGTATGACTTTGAACTAATTCCCATTTTCCTGCTAAACAAAAAGAATAATTGGGCATCTTGATAAAGTATTATTTACCACTGAGGACAAAATTTTGCCTCTCAGGGGTGAACAAATCATTAAGCTGATTTGAAAAGCATCTATTTCACTTGTCAATCTGGAATGGGGTAAATAAATGAATGGCCTGTGTAAATAAATGAATGGCCTTTCTAGAAGCAGGCATATATCTCATGAGTTGTGCCAAAGCTCATGTGTATGCTGTGTGAAAGCCATGTTTATGGATGGATATAAGATGATGGAGCACTAATAGCTGACTGCATTGTTGTTATTTTTTTCAGGGGTTATAGATACTATTTCCAATATCTCAGTTTTTCACTGTCTCAGCCTGCCATGTCATCTGCAAGGTATACATTTTTTTCTCTCATTCTGCACTAAATTCTCCAAATTGTGTAATTCTTTTAAATGTGGTGTCATACATAGGCTATTACTGTGTTCACTTGGTCAAAAGTGAAGCAGAGGAGTGGTACTGCTACCCTTTTGTCATGTGTCTAGAGTAAAGGGTGTTTATTCCAGTGTGAGGAAAGTATTTGGTACTGCTTGAATACATCTGGGAACAGTGTTTTTTTCCTGGATCACATATATTTATTTCTTACTTATATGACAGACAACAGAGATGAATCTATAGAATCCATAATGTAAAGACAGAGATTTTGCAGCAAGGAGGATCTATGCTGCTGAGTTCTATGGGGAAAAAATAAAATGGAGATAATAAATACTGAATTCTCTTAGCAGAGTGTAAAGAACTAAATAGGGTTAGTAAAATTGTTATTTTAAAATCTCTTTAGATAAACAGATTTTACTGAGTTTGATCCCTAAATTTGGCGTCTGGTACATCTGAGGCTTTTTAGATGATGACAGATATCTCTAGCAAATTGTATATGTAATTTCACACATCACCAGCATCTTAAAGCCATTGAATGGTGGGCAAGCCAGATGCATAATAGACATTTTGCAAACCAGATATCTCCTGCTATTGAACATCCATTTCAGGTAACAACATAAATCTTATGAGGAGGAATTTTCTGATTATTATCCAAATTATAGTAACATTTCTAGTCCATTCCAAACAAAATTTTATGGTGATTTGTGAAAAGGCAAAAAACACTCAAGAGAATTACAGTCTGACAGAAACTGGCATACAAAGGGAGTAGCTGATCTCCCTTGGAAAGGGAGTAGCTGACCTCCCTCAGATGTTGCAGATGAATGCATTTAGAGGAAAAAAACCCAATGGATTACATTTGATCTTTGAAAATATTTGACAAGCTGAATATACAGGAGCCATATAATATTTGTAATTGCAAAAAGTCACATTGTTTCTGGATGTTTAATTCTTGAACATGTGATCAGATTGGATAATAATTCAGTGTGAACATGCATTTTTATTGTTTCTGTCTGACACACAGCTGTAAAATTGGCCCAGAAATGCTATTTATCAGACATGAAAATATTGTTCTGAAAACTAATGAATGAAGCTCATAGTGTAGACAGCACATTCAGTATCAAAATGAAACATGTTTCTCCTTCTATGGTTCTATGAAAGTGGAAGAGATAAATTGAAATATTATGCTTCCATAGGGCTAATATAATTTCCATAATTGCCTAGGATAACGAAATTTTTGAATATCTCTATTCCTCAGAGCTTTTGAAAATTCACAGAAGTTGAAAACAGGGGTTTATAATTAGGTTTTGTGATGTTGCGGACACTTAGTTGAAATGTTACATTCTATTGTAATATGAATGATATTGCTATCCATATCCAATGAGCATTCAACAACACTATGGTATTGAATTTTCATGTAACATGAAAATAGTTTTCAAACATTGCTGAAATTAGACTTAGTAGTTACTTGTCTTGAGTTCTCAAAATAGTAAGTGCCATCTGCCTTATTGTGATCACTGTTAATGTCTGTGCAATAAACTGAAAATTAATCTCAGGGTTTAAATTCAGTAATTTCCATAAGTATTGGGATAATGAACTTCATTCCGATGCCAAATTGTGAAGTTTTTAATAAAAGTTCTCCTTTAATGGGTATATCTGTGGATTCCAAGTAGGATGTAAAGTCCAGTATTTAGATCTAAAGTAGCTACAGAAGATGAGTATGAGTCATAACCCAGTAAACAGAGTCTTGAGAGTCCTTGCAGTGGTCAATACCAAAGTTATGTAATGGTGGAATATTTGGTATCTCTCTGATTGAATTTGCAGTCACTGCAAGCTGCTGTTCTCTGTGTGGCAGCCACATCAGCTTAGTCAGCTGCTGACCTGCGTGTCTGGTATTATGGACTACTACAAATAGGATGAATCTGCAGTTTTAAATCTAGCATGAGCTAGAGCGCTTCCCTTAATGACTTCAAATCTTAGCATTCATCTTTCCAGACAAATTTCCTCCTAATTAGCTAATGTAACAGTGCTGCCTGGTCTTTCTAATTCACAGAGACCTATTGACCCTTGTTCTCCTTCAGCTCTGCAAGCATATTCCATTCAGTGTGAGGGTGAAGCTTAATCTATGATTTCTGATTATATGTCTCTTAGAAGTACTGCGGTGATTTGTCATTTAAGGCCTGACTCCATAGAAAAGATTACAGCCCTTTTTGCTCCTACCAGATGTTCTGTACATACTTTTATGGAAACTAAGGAAGTAATGTAAGTAAAAAAAGATATTGTTAGTCCTTAAACTCCAGATTAAACCATTTGCTGCTCTCTCAGTTTGTAGATCTGAATGATCTTTGTGATGTTACTAAATTAATTTTTCTTGTTTCTTGTACAGCTGCCAGTTAAGTTGAACAACCTCAGGTACTAAGCAAAAGAAATAGCAAAAGAAATATTTAAATGCAGAGTGTCTTCTGTAGTTGGGCACAGCTTGTATTGTCTGTGAGACTATGACATGTTCAATAATTTATACTTATCTTAAAGTTCTGTTGATTAGATTTACTTTGGATGCAACTTAATTTGTCACTAAATTCAAACGTGGGTTGTTGTGATACCAGAAAGAGGTTTCCACACAAGTTGTTCTAATGCTTTTTGGTAGTGGTATTTATTGCACTGTATGTGTATTGCATTAAAAGCAAATAGTCTAATGTCTCTCTGATAGTTCAAGAATTCCACTGCAATATCCTTTTTTTTTTACTATACAAATATAATAATGCCTGGGACCAACTCATGAACCAGTTTCCTTTAATCTGTAGGATGCCCATAGACAACATGAACGTTACTTTCGTCCTGTTTTACTGTGTTACCAGCAATCATATATTAAAATATTAGAGCTGGTAGCAGCCAGTAGTTAATAATACCTTGAAGAAGGAAGTAGGGATTTCTTTTTAAATCTTCTTATAAGGTGGGCATCATAGAGTCCTTTGAATGGTCATTGAGTGATTTTGATGCAGATGCCTACCACCACAAGATGAAAAGGATGTTGGTGCCATGGCAATATGATGTGTAGTCATGCAAAGGGGCCTGCCATCCTTGTTCAAGGTCACAGGGGGGTGGCAGAAAGCATTACTGACATTGCAGCCTGTTATTATCTGTAGTGCCTTTGGGAAGAGATTGACAAGCAGGACGTTGTGAGCTGTGTGAGTTTTTCTGATTACTTACTGCAGTTTTCAGTCAGGAGATCGTGTGTTTCTTCTTTTGTGTAATCTTGGCGCTTGTCTACCCATCTATAAGTCAGTGATAACTTGGTCTTTGAGGTTTCTTCTGCCATTGCTCTGCTCTGAAAGTTTGTCGTGAAGTTTCCATGTTAGATGATTCCTTCTTTATTCCTATTTGCCAAGAGCATCATTCTCATTGGTGTCTATATTATGCTGCTTTTTCTCTCATTATGCAAAGTTCCATGTATTCCTTTCTCTTCATAATGTGAGAAAGGTCATAGGTACCCACGGGTGTGATATCTCTCTATGACAGTTGAAAATGTCAATGTGAAATAAAGAATTTGTCTGCATTAATATCCACTGGGGGAATAAAGCCTGAAACTAGGAAAACTTTTGACTTGTAATGAAAATTACACTATTTATGTTCATTTAAACTAAACTTAGCCTTTTGGCACTGAAAACATCTGCAGCTGGAGTTTTTGCATGCTATAAATTGCTGTTTGTGTTGTCATTTCAGCCCTTATGGATCTATTTCAATTTAATCTCCAGAAAATATTTTGCTTTTCAAATTTAAAGTTTTCAAGCTCACAGTTTGGGTCTTATATCCTCAGAAGATGCCTGGACAAAAGAAAATAGCATACCGTTTAATACTATTGGTGCTATTTAGTACTTTGCATATTTATTTGGGTTTTTGTATTCTAAGAGTGTTTTGAAAACAACAATTATTTCTAGAACCCCTTTTTGGGAAATTGTATAGTATTATTACTATTATGTGGAGTACAAAATTAAAATAGAAGTGGACATTTTCTCACAAGAAAATTGCTAAAGTTCCTAAGGTGGTGAGCTTGGAACTCATGGAGTTGGTACCCTGAAGTCCCTTTCAATAGATTATTACATCTAACAGAATGAAGTTTGAATAAAAGAAGTTCCTCTGCATTCTGCAGTGGTAGACTTGTGGCAGAAGTTGTGACTATTGATTTGGTGACACTTTGACTTGACAAAGAAGGAGTTGAGATACATCTATAAGCTCAAATACACACAATCTGCAAGTAGCTTCATATATATTTCAAGAGACTGGGATAGAAGCCAGTTTTATTCTGGCAGCCATGTAAGACTGTACAAAGCCTGAGGTAAGTCATTCATCTTCACATCGTGACCATGTAGGCATGTTTGCAAAGAGAAGGACTTGTTTACAAGGGGATGGATTGTACACAGAGCAGTGACTAACTCCAGCTAGGATCGAAGGAATTTCTTATGTGACTGTGAGAATCACGTGTGGCACAGAGCTAGTGCTCTAGAGAAATTAATCTCCTTGGCAGTTCATCATTGCAAAACTGTTTCTGTGCATTTTTAGATGGCTGCATATTTTAACACTATTACAGGAATCTGCTGTATCATTAATCATATTTGGATTTTTTTTTCCTGGAGCCTTGGCTGTTGTAAAGTAGTGAAAATACCTGGTAAAGCATGATCACATCATCCATTACTGTTCACATATAAATGGTTTTGATAAGATTTGAGAGAAGATGAGCCAAAATCCCATATTGTTTTCTGCAAAAGTGAAGCTTACAGGTAACTCTGGAAAAAAAACCCAGGCTTTGTGTATGAAAAAAAGTGGTCTTTGTCAGCTTTTAAAAACAGGCATGAAATTTTGTTAAATGTTAGTGACAAGCTCCTACCTAAGTCAACAAAGTCGTTTGGTGTATGAACAAATTGTTCAGATTCCTTTATGTGGAGCAGTGTTTATCTAAAATTTGGATTCCATGAGCCTGGGACTAAATGTCAGTGGTAAAGTGGTCTCATAATAAAACTTTCTTCTTAGAGAGTTGCAAAAGATATTTCTGTTAATTATGGCAAGTTCAATCAATTATAGATGTACAATATTTTGAGTAGATACATGTTTTTCCAAAAATGCTTAAATGAAATACAAAAAATAGTAAGTAATTTTTGCTATCATTTCTTGTGTTTAATTAAGCAGATTTATATTAAAATCTCTGTCTGCCTCCTAAACCTTGCATCTCTGGATTTTCACTTAAGGTAAAATCTGGCAGATGAACAGAAACATTTTTTATATTTTTGTTTCAGAGTAAAACTGTAAAAACATGTAAAGATGTGGACTAGACGTGAGTATAAGTAGAAAAAGACAAGGAGGAGATTGGAGATGATCGCTTTCAAAGATCAAGAGGATTTCCCTGAAAAACTCTTTACCCATTTTCTGAGACAATTTAAAAATATATTAGCAAAAACAAGGGCAAAACTATCTGAGAGTACAGCCAGTCATCTGTATTTGCTACAGTAACAGTGCTGTTAGCAGATTTTCAGATAAATAATTTCCTGCTTAGTAGTTTGTGGATTTCTTCTTTTCTTAGTGGTATTTTCAAAGATCAAGACATTACAAGTCTTCTTTTTTTTTATTTTGCCATTTGTCTCCCACCTCCCCTCTAGTAAGTTGCAAATTAATAGTATGAACATATTCCATTTGCTCCCTTTTATATTGCCATCAGTATTTTTGTTTTTTTCCTTTTGCTTTTGTATCCCGTCTTTGATTCTCATTTTCTCCATCTTGATATAGTAGCATATAGAAAAGTTATATGAAAAATATTCTTTCTTAAAAGGTAGCTACTTTAGAACAGTAACTTCCAGCATGTAAGGCATTAAAAAATGCTATCAGAGACCAACTCTTCCTATGCTGTATGAGGAGAGGCTGAGATCACTTGATCTGTTCAGCCTGGAGAAGGGGAGACTGAGAGGAGACCTCATTGAAGTCTTCAGCATCCTCACATAGAAAAGCAAAAGAGCAGGCACTGATCTCTTCTCTGTGGTGACCAGAGACAGGACCCAAGGGAATCACCTGAAGTTGTGTCAGGGGCAGGTTAGGTTGGATCTTGGGAAAAGGTTCTTCACCCAGAGGGTGGTTGGGCGCTGGAAGAGCTCCCAGGGAAGTGGTCACAGCACATAAGTGGCCATTGCCAGAGTTCAAGATGCTTGTAGACAATGTTCTCAGGCTCATGGTGTCACTCTTGGGGCTGTCCTCTGCAGGGGCAGGAGTTTTACATGGTGACCCTTGTGGGACCCTTCCAACTCAGCATATTCTATGATTCTATGCAGCCAGTCACCTTGATGCAAAAATTAGAATTCATGATGGAATTTAAAACATTCTCTATTTCTCTAGAGCTTCTATCCTGTGAATAGGAAAAAGGCAATCCTTTAATAGTTGAAACAATATTGTAGGACTTTTTCTCTATATGCTGTACATATGAAATACTTGAAACCACAAGTTTTTGTTAATGGTTTTTTAAAAACACTCACAGTAAAAGCCATAAGCTGAGCCTCTTCCAAAATTTCAGTTGAAATACTGGTTAAAAATGGAATAAAAATAGGGAAATGAAATCATGCTCCATGAGGATGTCTTTTTGCTTTATGTGCCTCAAATATCCAGTCTCAGAGGCAGTTAAAAAGTCAAAGAGTATGGCTAATTCCTGGCACTGATAAAAAGGCTAAGGAAGCAGATGTTCTGATGCCATATATCAAAAACATGAAGAAACTATATTTTGGATAAAAGCCCATGAAAAAGACATGGGTTTAGCAACATGAAAGGACAAAAACTAACATGTCCTTCATGAAGAATGTTCCCATTATTCATTAATACTAATAGAACCCAAAGTCATTCTTTGCACAATTCCTAGCTAAAATATGTATTTTCTGCCTATTGGTAGCATCATACTGGTTGTGTGTTACCTCAAACTACCCTGATTGACTGACATGTTTCATGCTAACTCCTTATGATTTTATTTATTAACATACTTGAATATGACTTTGTACTTTCTGTGATGGAAACTGTTGCAAACTCTATATGGGTGATTGTGACTAAGTCTGATCGGTTTGTCCTGAAGTGAAAGGACTGAATAATTAATTCGAAATCAGTGGGAATTATTGCATGCTAAAAAAAAAAAAAAATCCAAGTAACTTAAATCCTAATTTCTGGGATGAATTAAAGTTTTGGATGTGAAATAATGTTATGGTAGAGATATTGTGTCCAAATGAATTAAGGAGACAAGACCTTCATTGCTTTTTATGAGGTTGTGGTTAGTATAGTTTCAGTTTTACTTGGACAAATTTGTTCCTTTATTCCCTACAGATTTCAAACAAATCAAAGCAAAATGTCTAGACAATATTTTACTTTTAGTCCTGGAATAAGGCACAAGTGAGGCAAGATATGCAATTAAGGCCCAGGGATATGCAATTAAGAAAAATTTTAATAATAAATTTGCTGTTAAAAAAGTAACAACTGCAATCAAATTCAGGACTAATGCATGACAGAATAAATAATTACATTTTCATCATAGATAAAACAAATTTCTTATGTTTTTGTGGATCTATTTAAATGTTGGAAACAGGAAATGTTAGCATGAGTTTTAGTCCGGAAGATGACACACCACTGCCTTGCCATGTTCAGCAAGGTGCAACTTATTAGAAAAGTCACATATAGCAAATGCTTATATGTTTTACTGCCCATCAAATACTGGGTAAGGCAGAAGAGTGACTAATGAACAGTACAGAGTTAACAATTTCCAGAGAAAAGAGACAGTGTGCTGATAAAGAGACCATAGTGATAGAGGAACCAATTCCACTGCTGCTTAGTGAGTCAAATGTTGCCCCTGGAAATGCAGATTTATGACTAAAATTTAAATGAAACAGCCATTGTTGGCTCTGACTAGGTATAAAGCATTGAACAAATGGAGGATTAAAAACTAAGGCAAATACTCTTTATGTTACAAAATGTCTTTTAAATTAAAAAAGCTGGCAAAAATACACTAGTGTAGAATGGAAACATCAAGAGAAATGTTATTTTTATAGTGATTTACTGGAAAATTCCTTGAAGAAAAACAATTCCTTTGCATAGAACATTTGATGCTAATGCCACAAGAATTTTCTTCGCTATGGAGTTTCCATTGAGGTAATTCTCTAAAATGTTTCATTTCAGTTACATTGTAGACAACCCAAATGTGGCAAAGGAGATTATTTCAATTTTATTAATAACTCCAAATAATACTCAGAGAACAGGAAAGATAAATCTTAGGGTTAAGCAAATGTTAATGCAGTGAAAGACATTCAAGGCAGAAAATAGTGTGAGGTAGAATGCCAAAGACTAATGCTTCCCAGGGTGATTATTCTTTAAGCAGATGGTGCATAGAGGACTAGACTGGTTTTTGTGGCACAGTAGTATCACACAACACATGTTGCTCTAAGAATAATGAAGATATTTGCCATCCCCAAAATTAAGGGGAAAATGCATCATGCTATAACTAATGAGCTGTCTGAGTTATTTTTGACTCAGTTTATTAAGAAAAGATTGTAGCAAACCACAGCAATAAATCTCTAGGACACATACATCCCAGACTGATTTGCATTCAAGGTCATGACAAAGTTCAGCAAAAATGCAGATCTGAGCAGAACAACTCTTCATGTATCATGGATTGCTGTGTTTCTTTTCTATTTAGGCAGCTCTAAAGAATAATGATGATGATCATGGTGAATAAGATGTTAGGGACAGTACGTACTTGCGCATGTTTGTCTTTCAGTGTTTGTCACATGGCCACTTGTAGATTTCTAGCTAGAGTGGAAAACATCCAACACTGAACTCCACAAGTTTATTAAAAAATCCTCCAAATTAGCTGTTGAGTCAGAAAGAATACTTTTTCTGAGGAGACATTCATCCTGCTTGATTTTATTCACCCAACAAAAGTGCCACACACAGAAAACTATCTTCCTGTTATGAATGAAAAAGAAAAATTATTTGAAGTTGTACTTTAGGACCTGGGAGCTCATCATGTATCTGACTGTGGTGTATGTCATCACTAGATCCAAACTCCATTTTAGTGGTCTGATTTCTGTGACAAAACCAAAGTACTTAAAATACACTTCAACTCGTCTAGGATCTTAACTTTCTCCATTAATTTTATGTGGACATAAGTATGCCACCTTAGTAATTTTATTTAGGTTTTAAAGTTAATCTATTAGACAGTTAGATACCCTCTGAGCAGTAGTTATCCATATTGCAAATCTGGATAATTTAATTTATGTGTGATTTTAGATGGCACTATTTTATATCTTTTTATAGTTCAATCAGGGGATAAATGGCAGTAATGTAGATATACTAAAAAGTAAAAATTTAAATATGCCAAGTCTTCCGTGAAAGCTAGAGTGAATTTCAGGGTTTATTGAAGTAAACTGGCTTGTTTTTTAACATGCAAACCCTAGTTTTTTCTCTGTGGCCAATAATTAGCTTGCTTTCCTCTCTGGAGTTCATCAGTGTGGTCCCCATCAGCTTAGTGATGCTGCTTCTGTTGTGTGATATCTGCACTGTGTCTTCTTTGCTTCTATTTTATTTTTATGCCTGGCAATATGTAGCCTTTGCATTCCTGAGATTGTGGTCCTTAGATAACAAGACTGCAGTGCATGAGAAAATTATTCTTCCTGAGTAAGAGAATAATTTCCTATATATAGGGAGAAACAGTACTACAGAGAGACCACTGATCTGATAATTACTGTATATTTTTATAGAAATATGAATATATTCCTTCTTGTGAAGGAATCTCAGGAGTCATGCTCAATATTGCTATCACTACCAAAAGCTTCTGGAAGAAAACCAAATAATTAAATCATCCATCACCAATGAAATCTCTAGTCATCTAGTCTCCGCACTAGAGAACACTGACTAAAAGATGAGGCAATATCAATTTAATTAATTTCAAAAAAACTCCTATAAAAATGGAATGAAAAAACATGAAATTGAAGCAAAAAGAATGATTTTTTGACATTTTTTTGAAACGGAGTGTCGTGGTTTGACACGGGAAACCATGAATAGAGATGGATGGATTCTTTTTTTATTCAAAATTATTAATTTAAAAAAAATGAAAAAAAAATGGTGGACAGCTAAAAGGAATGAAAAACTTTTTTTGTCAGTTTTTTTGTTTCTATTCTATATTAATTAAAGTTAAAGCCCTTACATTTGTCATGTAGAGCAAACCCTAAAGGCAGTTTCATTACTTTCTTCAACAGGTTTTACTTTCAGAAAAAATTCTTACAAATCTTGTGAGTCTCTCTTTCTGCAGTGTTGAAAAGATATAAATGTGAACAAAGGCAGATGAGGATGCGGTCTGTCAAATGAATGTGTTTCTTAAGTGTTCCCGTTCCTCTGTAAAATTGCTTTTTTCACATAGGCTGATTATACAGTTAACATATGAAACATTTTCCTGCCAGTGGTATTTTGCTGAAATAAAAATTCCCCAGGAAAACAATACTTTTTGCAGGAAATTTCCATTTAGTTCTGGGTCAGGTCAACTTTAATCTCCCTATTGCCCGAATCACTTTCTTCTTTGTTCTTTTATATTTGTTGCATTATATAAAAACCAGAGGGCCCAGAGGCACCACAGAACGTCTGCCCAATTGGGTTCTGCCTCCATATTTGGATAGTGGGACTGGTTGCTGCCATCATCAGAGGTTGGTTTCCCTGGACAGGAAATCCACACATGAGGATTGCACAGGAGTGTGAGGTGCTGGAACGGGACCCCTGCTGAAATGAATGTTGTGCTGTGATTAACAAGCCTTCGCCCTTAGCAGCCTTGCAACACTTCCCTTTCCATATCTGCCTTTCAGAGAAGGGAAAGAGGTGCTGATGATTACTTTGCTACCTCATATCAGCATGGTCTTGTGCAGCTTATGTATTACTTTCTTGGGTAGAAAGAGCAGTGAAGGTAGCTGAGGATTGCTTGTGCTAGCAAGTGCAGGGTCTCTGGAGCACTGTTGCCACCCAGTCTTCACTGCTATTATCTCTGCTAGAGTGTGTCAGTGTCTTTGGTAGTTATGTGCTGAATTTCTCCTTAACCATAATAATCTCCTCTGTGTTTGGCATATTTTAGTAGTTGGAGTGGCTCAAAATTTTCCATCTCTTTTTCTTCCTTCCTTCTCTACCAGCAATGTAAATGATTTTTCTATAGAAAGTAGGATATCTAGGCTGGCTATGTGATTTTTGTATTGCACTACAGACTCATTACAGATTCACTAATAAGTCTTCTGGAAACTACAGCAGAAATTTTAAGCACTTATAAAACAAGCTGGACTGAAGGTGCCACTGTACAGAGCCAAGTTGGAAGTCTTAACATTTGCAGGTTGGATAAACTACTCAGGAATATTTCAGAGCTGACTGTATTTTGATTTTTGCAGCTGTAACAACCTAACCACCAGCCTGTTATAATGCTGCAACATACCACTCTACGTGAGCTGAAACAATCCCTTGTTGCATAGTAAGGGTGAACAATGGCCTTTGGAAGTGTGAATTGGAAGATGAAGTAATTTCATTTCCCTTTGTTTTGTAAATATTTTTACCATTACTAGCCTGAACTACTCAGGCTATATTTTTTTTTTTCATGTATTTTATGTCAACTGAAATTTAAAGTGTGTAGAACTAGACACATTGGACCAAAGACTTGAAGTCTTACTGATACTGTCATTCATTTCTCACTGTTCTCTAT